GAGCCATCTGGTTGTCATAGCAGTGCCATCTCGTTCGGAGGCGCCAAGAACCCTAACGAGAGCAGGATGTCAGGCGAGCAGAGATGGAGCAGGATGTCATCCCCCCGCCCCCCGCCAACATGCGGTGTCCCACCACCGGTCGCCGCGCGGCTCCGTGTAAATGAAATCAATCAGCAAGGGTTCCTGTAAAAGGCACAGTTGTCTCCTGGACCCTGGCGGAAGGTAAATGATTCCAGACCTTGGACCGTGGCCATTTTCCCACACAGGCTGCTCTCACACCCATATTGGGCCACAACCCGAGCGTGCTCTGCGTTGGGGAATTTCCAGCCACCGCGTCCACTGCTGGCTTGGACAGACAGCCTGCTGATGCCAATGCAAGACTACACCCCTTTGGCCTGTGGAAGCTGGAGGAGTATCGCCCTTTCCTGCAAAAGGGGCTCCTTGCTATCGTTCGTAGAAGGTTAGCTTTCCAAGTCGCTGCCTCAGTTCCTTGGAATGAGGCAAACCCCGGCCTAATAAACATACAACACGTGACATCCAACGCCAACCTCCTAGATGTGACGCCAGACAGCAAACAGCACAAGTCCGACTTTGTTTTTAAAACTCATCTTAAACATCAACAGCAGGGGTGTTGCATTGGTAGCTGAGGCTCTGGAAAAGGGGAAGAGGCTTTTTGAGAAAGATAAACTGCAAGAAGTTCCAGAAGCAGCTTCCTTCTAAAACTATGTCAACAAGGTGATATTATTTGGGATGCGTGCTGACGTCTAGGTCAGATTCATAGCCATTTACCTAACACAGACCCGAGGGAATTTGCCTCTGGGGAACAGCATTTATTGCCAGCCTCTTAAGTCTCAGAGACGGGCACTTTCTACTACATCTCCTTTGAGGAAAGATACTGATAATTGTGCCCATAGTTAGAGAGAGAGAGAGAGAAAGGGAGAGAGAGACATATACTAGTATCTATGGTCTAATTGAGAAGAACAGTTCTGAAGTTAAACGAAAGTAAAATAAATCTTACTATATCTGTCAAATGGTTTTAAAGTGAACAACCAAAATGAGAGGCTTTAAATTCTGAATCCAGTTCTTGTTCAAAGACTATCCTTCTAAATAACCAATACACCACCAAGGAACTTTCCAGATCAGTACCAGAACTCACACAGCCAATAGAAGGCACAGTTATCTTCCGCCCCCCCTCCCACCCCCCCAGGACCTCTTTTTCTATGGAATACAAACTTACTTTGTGGAAAAAACGTCCTGAGGCTGCGCTGCACCTTTGACACAAACCACCCTCCTCCTCATGCCATTTTCTGCTGCCTTGAAAGTCGCCCCTCCGAGACTGACAGATGGCGCGCCTGCCCCGAGTGTCTCCCGGCACTGCCCTGCCAGCTGTGCTCCCTTGCGCTTGCCCACTGCCTGCGGGGCTGTGTGCTCGCCGCAGCCTGATCAATGGTGAGCTGCTCCGAGGGTGGCTGTGGCCCCGCCTCCAGCCCTAAGAGGAAAAACGAAATGAAAACTCACAGCTTGGCTGTAAACCCTCTATCTGAAACCTGGCTCTGCAGCGGGGGCACGTACGGGAGGGAGAAGCTGCCCGGCTGTCACCAACCGGGAGGGGCGGGCCTCCTTGAGGCCCCCCCCCACCCCCGACGCTGGGGCCAAGGCTGCACGTTACATAACAAGTCCCGTTTTAAGTCCGTCTGAAACTTCACAGGACGGGGGCACGGGCTTGGCACCAGGCTCGGGTTCTTCCCTGCCTAACACGAAATAAAAGGCACCCGTGCACACGACACTCACACCCACACACACACTTACAACACACACCCATGACCGAGTCACTCTTAACATGGTAAAACTGAAGACTGATTTCACGGAGAAACTGGAAAGGGGCACATGCCGAAACAGCAGCTGACAAAATCGGGCACTCGTGATTTTCTGCCCGGAAACGCAAGTCACCGCTTGTATCCAGGTAACGCTGCACCTCCTACCATCCAGTCTGCTGGTTTTGAGAGTCCAGGGTTCTGGCGGCCTTGGTGAATCGAGAGAGCACTCGGATGTATTTCAGGTTGTGGCCACAGAGAAGCCTGCTCTACCAAGCAGAGCCAAACAGCTGAGCGTGTGGCACTGGTCTGCTCTGAAGCCCAGTGGGGTTCAAGGACAGAGAGCGTATCCTTGAACTTACCTATTCTGTGTGGTCAACAGCACCAAGCCTTACCCGGTAGAAGGACTGCGTGTTCGGAGCAGACAGTGGGCATGAATATTCCTAAAACAAGGCGAATGCCTCCAAGACTGCAGCGGAAGCCACCGCCAGAAGGTCTAGATTCAAGTTTTGTTTCTTGGACAGCATCCTTGAACCCCAAGGGCATGAGATAAGCTCTGGAGACCTCCCAGGTGATCTCGAGATTAGACTAAGATGATAAAGTACCGCGTTGTCGTTAGTCAACGTTTGCATTGTTTTTTGCAACTACAGAGAATAGGAAAGACGGGTAAATATTTAATCTGGCAACGATGGCACCCCGCTCAGTCAGTGCCACAGGCACGGACAAGGACAGCGAAAGATGAAAGGGTTCTGGGAACAGCGGGCCGGGTGTGAGTGCAGGCAGAGGGTAACTCTGACTGCGTGTGCGTGAACTTGCAGTGGGAGGAAATGCAGGGGGCACAGAGCAGAGTGGGTGGGGACAGAGGTTGGACACTTCAGCTGTCACCTGCCATTAGTCTGTGAGCCCAGTGGGGCAGGGACAGACACAATTGTCATTTGTTGACTGTGTGAATGAATGAGACACTGAATCAGACCAGCGCCACCGTAAAGGAAGGAGTGTGGGTCATTGTGAGAAGCCGGAGCCTCCGACTGGAAAATCAGATACTTCAGGGTGGAGGCGACCGGTGCGACCTTCCTGTCTCCCCGAGCGTGAGGCGGAGGTTTGTGGGGAGAGAGGTTTTCTGGGTCACTGAGAAGAGAGGAGATTTTGTTCAGGAACCCCTGATCTGATCCAGTTTCGACGCTCGCCCCAGCGCCTCCCTCCCCTGCTTCCTCCCTTGAGAACGTCCTCAGGCTGCCAAAGAGGGTGACTCAAGCAACAGGATGTTTGTAAGCATCTGTGAATAGAAGTGCGGGATGTTAGGGCAGAGCCCTGCTGGCCGTGGCTGGCCAGAAGTAAGTGCTCCAAATCCAGCGGGACCCCGCGCTGGGGCCGGGGAGGGGCAGAGGGCCTGGACCCCCGCCCCCCCTGTGGCACCCCACTGCCAGTGCATGTGTGTGTTCCTGACTAAATACACTGGAAAGGTGACCTGGTTTCTCAGTGGCTTCAGGTCTGTGACCCCTCCCTTCCACGTGGAAGAGTCTGCACAGCTGGGGGAAGAGCGTGCACCACCGGGAGCATCTAGTCTCAAATGCTTTCCTCTCCTATCGGGTGCGAGCCTCCAGCTGGAGCCTGGGAGGCCGTGCGCTTTGCACTCTGGGGCGGCTGATTTACAGGGGCTCAGCCATTGTAGTCGGAAACCAAAGGTGGGAACAGCAGGGCACTGTGGGTGCGGCTGGGGTTCCAGAGGGAAAAAGCACATCTAGTTTGGGGGACGCAGTGGACAATCAGGGGGTAACGCTCCAGTATGGGAGTGATCTGCACAGGCAAGGCGAGAGGAGGACCCTGGGAAGAAGACCTTCCTAGAGGAAAGGACAAGCTCTGAGACACAGACAGAAGGACACAGGCATGTGGAGCAGGGAGCAGTCCCTTCTGCCGAAGCTCAGAGAACGTGTGGGGGGACCACACTGTGGTACGGCCTTGAATGCTGGGGTGGGGCGTGTGGGGAGTTAGTATCAGCTTTGGCTGGTTTGAGCACAGGTGTGACACAGCCTGAGCAGGGAGACGTAGCAACCAGGTTCAGGACGGGTTAGGAAGGACAGAGCAGCCAGAGGGTCCACTCAGGAGGCCACTGCAGTAATGGGAGCGAGAGGCCCGCTGGGAGGGAGGGGGTCTGGGGAGGAAGGGTACCAGCGGCAGCTACACAGGTGGGGGAGGCGGGGGACTTGAGTCAAAGAAAGTCCTTCCTGGGGGAATCTTCCTGGAGGTGTTTGCTGTCAGATGCACGAACATATACAAGTTTCTATTATGACATCATTTGTGATGGCAAAAGACTGCCAATGGCACACGTGCCACCAGTAGGGGATTTGCGCATAAACGATGGCACAGTTGGCCAATGAAATGCTGTGCTGCCCTCGGCAATACACACACACCACGAGGCGGCTGTTGGGTGGTACTGGTGACAGGCACCAGACCCCTGGTGGTTGAGGACCATGTGTAGGTGACAAGTTGTGGGCAGGGAGTGACTTTATGGCAAAGAAAGGAAAATACTGAGGAGGGGACTGAGAGCATGGTTGGGACCTCAGGGTTTGGGATCTACTCTCCAGTTGGCACCAGAACCAGGCCAGGCCATGCCAACTGAGGGTGGAGCAGGGCACAGCCCACCCAAGTGTGTGGAAGGTCTGCCCATGGGCACCACCAGCTCGAGGGCACCAGAGAGCTGCCTTACTTGTCCTGCACATTTTCGTGGTCAAAGGCCTAACAGCCGTGTCTCTGGGCAAATTAGGCCTGAAAAAGGAATGCCACGCCTTTTGGGGACAAAAGTGCCTTTAAGGAATGTAGCAGATGACAAAGCAAAGGGCGTGGCATCTGAAGCTCCATGTTCACCAGACTCTGGTCATAGCGAGTCAGGGCAGCATTGCAAGCAACATCCAAGTTCAGGGGTAAGTACAGTGCAAGTTCACAAACCAAGAGCAGCAATGACAACTAGGACCAACATCCGGGTCCTCAGTCCTATAGTCCTTAGCTAGAGATGGACGTTCAGTCAGCTGTCCCTTCCTTTGGAAGCACAGACCATCTCTCTAGTGACCACTTACAGGAGGCTGAGGCCAGCTCATGGGAGGGGTGAGAAGTGTCAACAGCAAGCCCTGGGCACCGCAGGTACGGGTACGGCTCCTCGGTGGCTCTGTTTTATTTTGTGCAGAGCACGAGGCCTGGCTGTGAATGGTTCCCCATCAGCTCTGCAGAGAGGGGACAGGCCGAGCACACCGGGACTCTGCAGAGGAGGGCTGTGCACCGGACGCAATGATGTGCCGACCGCCTGCCTTGTGTGCAGAATCTGCTCCAGGGCAGGTGAAGAGCAGCGTTACGCGGCTGGTGAGGGCCACATGGCTTTGTAGAGAACAGCACGTTCTCTTTCTAATGCAGTGAGAAAGCAACTCTCCCAAGTGGCAGGGTTCTGAACTTGACTCAGCCCGTGCAAGCCGCCCGCACTGGGACCAGTTCCTGGCAACTCCTCACTGCTTGATGGATAAATCACACTGTGAAAATTAAGTGGGTCAGTTTATGCAAAATGCTGGGACTAGTCGGTACATGCTATTTATCATCCCACAGTTAGAATTTTAAAGTACCAGTGATTGCGACTGAACTTTTGATCCAATTAATCACAATTCAACGAATAATCCTCTGCGGGAATAGCTGACTGCGGTACTCATCTGTAATTTACTTTGAAACTCTCGTGCATACAGGATGCAGCCGTGTGTGTGTGGCACTCGGGTTGAGCTAAAGCCATGTGCCGCCCGCACCTGAGCATTCACCGCCTGAGCCAGCGTCGCTGGGGTTCTAGAGAGGGAGCCAAGACATCTGTCCCTCCTGGTCCTCTCCAGTGGCTTACGTCCTGGGAAGGGTGGTAGAATAGGTACATCAGTGAGGGACTACACAAACTCATAGACAAAAAAAAATTGATTGAGTCGAATTCAATTCACAGGCTTGCTGCAGGTGACAGATGGTCACTCCGGTGTTCCCATGGGTTCTTGGAGTATGCCTGCTGGTCTGCTGTGCCGTTTCTGGCAGAACGTAAGTACCACCTTCTCCTGGTGAGTTACTCTCGCTTACTGCCATGAACATGTCACCCATGCACCCAGGTACCAGCGAGTGAGGACAGGTGTTCATCGTCAGGGGCCCCGTGGGCAGGTCCACGTGGGTGCGGATGCACACGAGGAGGGCTTGGAGACCTCCCACCGCCTCCGGTGCCCCAGAAGCCACGTCTGGGTGGCAGCCTGTGGTTTTCAGGTTCTCAGACGCCATGCATTCAGCATGATTTCAGCAGCGAACATTCTGGGTAGTGTGGAAAACCAGACCAGTCCACAAGTCCCTTTTCTAGTGTTTAACACTCCTGAAGAAGTGTGACAGTCGGTTGTTTCATTTCTGCTACTTTTAACCCCCTTCCTTCTTCTGGGGAAAAAGCGTACCTTTCATTATAAAGTTATAAATGTCCACTTTGCTTTCAGTAAGTGAAGCTGTGTGAAGCCATTAAGTGCCTAGATCGAGGCAACCTACCCCCCTATCGCTCTGAAACCTTCAAATTATGAAGCAAATCAAGGTTTGACTTCTTGCATGATTGACCCTGGTTGTTTTCAACTTCCTTCGTCCAAAAAAGATGACCTAGGAAGTGTGACGCGTCCACCACCAAGGGCTCCGAAAACGACCAGGGACGTGAGGACAGCCCTCAGTGGGAATCAAACGATAAGAGCCTGAGTCCAGGTCAGGTGCAGCTTGAAAATGACAGCACTCTCTTCTCTGTGTGGATGCTCTGTGCGAAGGGCTGCTGCTTCGCTATTTTTAAAATCCCCCAGTTTCTGAACTTCTGGATTACATTACCTGGGAGGGGGGTGGGGAGAGAGAGAAGGAAATGGGGTGGGGGGCGGCGTCTTGCCAGCAAGCCAACCGTGCATCGGGAAGGCATACTAAAAACAGAGAAAACAGAATCACATGGTACAAGAATAACTGTGTTTAATCTGGCGCTTTGGAGAGCGGGCTTGTGGCTCTGTTGCCAGGGAACGGAGTCTCTGCTGGCTCTGAGAGCAGAGACGGTATGTGAAGTTCTGGCATCCAGCAGCCACAGACCCAAAGCGTCAACACTGAGGCAGAAGCCCAGACGACCTGCTGGGGAGGTGCCAACGTCACGTGTTACGTTCCTTGCCGTCCTACAAGCACGGATTCGCCCCTTGGAAACTGGCCCGCCGAGGCTTCGGGCTTGTCTGTCTTCCTTCCACGCTGGTCTTTTCCTCTCACCCCTCCCATCTACTAACCAGGGGCCTGGAACGATCAAATCTGTCCTGGCTTAAATTGTTTAACGGTGTTGTCTTGATTTCTGGGCAGAGATGTGCTGCTTTAATTATGATGCTAATGGCCGTCCACAGAGAAGCTGCTGTTTGGGGCGACGAAGGCCCTGGGCCCCAGGCAGGACGATGATCTCTTTCTAAACCGGGTTCCTTCCGCTGCCTGGAAGACCAGGCTGCCCATCGCTGCCTACCCCAGTTTGTACGTGGCCTTGAGTTCTGACTTTCATTCGGGGTCACCACAAAAAATTGGCCTAGGCAATGAAATTTCTTTAAAAAACACGGTATCTCTTTTAAAGCCCACTTGAAATTTTCAGAAAATAAAGACAGGCCTAAAGTAGACTTTGAAAGTACAAGGAACACTGTTTATTCACAACCCTGCGAACCAAAGGCTTGCTCCCTGTTTTCCTCTTCCCATCTCACCGCTTCCCGACGAGAGCGCTGGGTGACTGGACGGCGACCAGCTCGAGAACCAAACGTGGAGGCAGACTTAACTAACACGTTCAGGAACCCTAGGCTCCTGAACTTGCTTCTCATTTTGCAGTGAAACGTGGGTGGCCACGAGCTTTCCTGGCGTTGTAAGCCATCTGCTAACGTATTTGACTCTGACAACTGGGAATCACAGTTATCCACGCAGGCCAGTGGCACTGGCCACCAAAGATTAGCTGCTCTCCCAGAACGTGCCCCGTAATCCGAACTCCGGACTGCCAGCACGGAGTGACAACCGTCCGAGCCTGCTCCAGCCTTCCACGACTTCAGGACACATGAAAAACCTCAGCATTTAATAACTCCCAGATTTTACTTTCCATCACCACACGCTCACACACACACACGTGCACACACACGCCCTTTCTTCTCCTGCTGTGGCAGCTAAGACCCAACACTCTCGCACTGCGGGTGTTTTAGAACCGGGAGGGCCTTTAAAACACCACACCTGTTTTAATAAAGTTTCAAGTTACTGCCAGGAGATTCAGGTGCTACTGGACCCTACAACACACGACCTCCTCCCAAAACCGTCAGGACACAGGCTGGTTTCCGGGGAAACAAAACCTTGTTTAAATCCTCTGAAAGCATTAGATTCTCACTGTAGCTTTTTTTCCCCAAGATGCACACACCAGTGCTGCCTGGAAAGAATGTATTTGTTTGGAGAAGGAAGAAACGCTTCGTCCAGCCGAGCAGTGGGTGGAACAAAGAATTCAGGAATAGAATGAGTACTCTGGAGAAAAGGCGGGGGGGGGGGAGGCCCTGGACCTGAGCTGGCCCGTCTCTGATTGGTGGAATCTTCTCTCCGTGAAAGGGCTCTTCCTTAAAAAGACCGTGTCCTTGCTCCGCACCTAAGGTTCCTGCTGTGCCGGAGTCACGCTTCCGTCTACTGGCTCAGCCTTTGTCCGCCCTCGCCTTTCTTCACCCCTGAGGGGCTAATATCAGCCTTACGTGTGCAGAACCCAACAAACCCCGAACAGGTTCACCTCTATTTCACCCCTCGGGCAACTCTGCACACAGTGTCCTCTGAGTGACCTCTGAGCGCTGGCTCTGAGATGCAGTGGCCTGTCTTCGTGCCACGCCTGAGGGCGGTCTGTCCCGTGGACCCGGGCACCCTCAGAGTTGGCAGCCACAATGCTCGGACATAATGATGCTACTCAGGTGAGGTCAGTTTCACGCTTCAGGGGTAGGTACGACTGAAGAGCTACCAGAACGGGAGACTGCAAGAAATAGGGAAGTCCCACCTGACAGGCGTCCTCAGAGGAGGACCGGCCACTATTTCCCTAAAGGACTCCAGCGTCGGTCATCCTCACATCCCAGGCCGAACAGATCGCTTCTTGGGATGAGGACTGTGGGTGGTGATGTTGGCTGGCAACACCCCTCATAGCCCACAGGACACAGGATGAAAAAGACACAGGATGGCAAAGACACCTCCTGTCGCCCCAGCTCACTGCTTTTTTAAAAAATTAAATGTTTTATTTATTTATTTATTTTTAGAGAGAGGGGATGGGAAGGAGAAAGTGTGGGAGAGAAACATCAATGGGTGGTTGCCTCTCCTGTGTCCCCTACTGCAGACCTGGCCTGCAGCCAAGGCATGTGCCCTGACTGGGAATCGAACCAGTGACCCTTTGCTTCACAGGTCCGTGCTCAATCCACTGAGCTACATCAGCCAGGGCCCAGCTCGCTGCTTTTGGTGACATATGCCAATTGGGCGGCACTGACAGAGCTCTGGGGGAGGGGGAGGGCAAACTGGGGCCCTCCCCACGCTCCTCAGTCCAGAGCCTTCTACCTCCGGCCTCCGACGCTCAGCCTGTCCCTGCCAAACACACTGCATGCCAGGCTGAGCAAGGCGGAGACAGGGACCACTCACCTTCCGGGTGAGACTCCGGCAGGGCTGCTGAGGGGACATAAAGGTATTTGCGAGAGGCAGTAGGCCGCAGAGCCATCACATCCAGGAGAAAGGCACCCCTTGGGGCTTCCTGCTGTGTGGGGTCACTGGGCTGTCATCGGTGGCTTTCCAAAACAGGAAGGTTACGGGAAGCTGCTGGAGACCAAGTGCGTGCTGGGAAGAGCGCCACAGCGCCGGGAAAGAGAAATGCCGTCGGGAAAAATATAATTCAAAATTAAACGTATCTTTGATTTCTTTTTAAGTGCAGCTTTACTGGAAAATCACCAGCCCGGGAAACATGCTGGCACCTAAGATAGACAAGGCATGCCTCTTCCCGGCAGGAAGCTCCTGGCCTAGCAAGCAGGTGAGTCAAGGAAGTGAGGCTTTCGGAGAGAAAGGCAAGAGACAGAAACACTGACTGAGCGGGCTGCCTCGCCACCCACACACACCTCATTTCATCCCCACTTTTCTGATGAAGAAACCGAAACACAGGTCTCAGTGGAGTCCAAGGTCCTACAGACGTTGCCGTGTCTGGGCTCAAGTTTGCATCTCCCTCCTGCGGCCCTAACCCCGGCCCTTTGACAGTCCCTGCACAGTAACGCCCGGTGGTGCTGACTCGCAGCGACCTGCGTGTCCTCTCTGCTCCACCTGACAGGTTGAGATGTGCTGCACAGATCCCAGCGTGGCAGGGCTCGTAGATAAATTCAGGCAGCGTCATCACCATGTATGGCCTCGTCGTTCATGGCGTGGTCCGTGAGGAGCACAGAGCAACTGCCGTGTTCCTGAAGCCCGGCTTTGAGAGTTTGATATTAGAGACAGAGGAGGAGACCGGACAGATACTTATGAGGTCACCTCACTCTGGGCTTGGCGGTGCTGAGCAACACGGTAGTGAGAACTGAGTCCCTCCCTGTAAGACGGTCCCTTTATAAGGAAGAACCTGGAACTTACGGGACCCTCACAATATGAGCACTGGAAAAATGCAGTGTGCTCCTGCTCTAATTTTTAAAATTGAATGTGCCTGTTAGATACAGAGTGCTGTGCAGGTGCTGGGGGCTGAATTTGAAAATAACGGAAAGAAACATCGAAATCACTTTCCACAGATGGGGCAGGTGCTCACCCAGAGGCACATCGCAGTTCCCGGCCGAGCCTGCAGGGCGGGGACATGGGGACAGGTCCAGCCTGGAAACAGAGTGTCCCCCGGTTCCGGACCGAAGGACTGATGGGCAGAGAGACCACCTTTAAATCACGTGTCTACAGCCCCTTATCTAACAGTTACAGCCAGACCTCATCCCTGTGTTAATGTTTTCCTGCTCAGTAAGTTTCTCCTTCTGTCAGTTTGCTCATTTCTTTGGTTTAACGCCTATCTGTCCTTTGAATAAAGGCTCCATAAGGTAGAAGCTCCTTCCTCTGTTTTGTGATTTACCTTCAGTGGCCAGAACTGTGTCTCACACTTAATAGGCATCTGAGTGCACACAGCAAATGAACAAATGACGGAACCAACCACGGGCATGAGGACCACGTGATGGACACACTTAATGGCCACAGACGCTTAAAAAGGAAAAGGGGTGTTTCCTCTGGGCCGTGAAACATGCCCATCTCAAGTTCAGGGACAAGACCTGTGATTATTCTTTCAGATGATTATTTCTAGATATTTCATTACCTAGACCAGCAGCACTAGCTGGTTCTAGATAAGGAGTGTGAGCTGGTAGTAGACTGTGAGTGTTGGCTGTCAGGGTTCAGATTCCTCACACAAATTCATGGGTTTAGTATAAATATCTTTTCAAAGCAGATGGCCATCCAGGCTCTGGTTCCAATAAACTGCCCTGTCATTGATGTTTTCTACAATGAACAACACCGGTGAAATAACAGCATTTTTATGTCGCATTATACATTCATGGAATAGCATACGGCCTCAAAAGGGAAAGATGTTCTGACACGGGCTGCCATGTATGTTTGCAGACCGTATGCTGTGTAGAATAAGCCAGGCACAGAAAAGACAAACAGTGGGTGATCCCATTTGTGCGAGGTCCCCAGAGCAGTCACATTCACAGAGGCAGAAAGTGGCACGTTGGCTGCCAGGCGCTCAAGGGGAGGGGGAGGAGGAGGAGGAGGAGGAGGAGGAGGAGGAGTGAGACTTGTCTGGTGCACACAGTTTCAGTTTTGCCAGGAGAGGAGCGTTTCTGGAGGTGGATGATGGTGACGGTTGAAGAGCAACGTGAACGCACTTAATGTGAACGAACCGCACACCTAAAAGCGGTTGAGATGGCCAGTGCTACGTGTGTTTTACAACAAAATAGTATGAATCATCTCAAGACCGCAACAGAACATTAAAGCAAGCCCCAGGCCCTTGTCAGCGTGGGGCCCTGTCACAGAAGGGCAGAGTCGCACCCCCAGGGAGCTGGCCCTGCCTCAACACCCTTGACGACGCTTCTAGAGACTCGACGCTCTTGACCTCCCTGCACATGGGGACGTCCTTCCACTAACCAACCTGTGAACTCCTGCAGCACAAAGCCGCACTCAGTGTCTTCCTGCATCATCCCACTTGTTTGATGCTAAAAGATACTCGATATAATGCTTTTATCTAATCCCTGCTAACAATTACACTAATGACAAATTATGTTCGATTTTTAAAAAACATACAAGCCTTCATAAATGAGGCTACTATATAAATGTCCTGTAGCAGCTCCAGGAAGTTTCTGGAAGCACCTGCTGCCGTCTGCCCCCACAGAATACTTAATGTCCATTTCTGTCCAGCTGTGACTTTTCTTTGTCTTCACAGTTCCCTGTGTTAGGAACAAGGAAGGCAGAAGCTACTTATATGAACTATCCAGTTAACACGAATGTTCGGAATCCCTCCTTGGCAACACGTAACGCCACGGAGTACGGCAGTGACATGACGCGGCAGCGCCCGATTCTACCTGTTACAATGATTTGTTCGCAGGCCGAGTCTTCCCGAGACCAAGATAATTTCGCGTTGATCACTGGTCTGTGAAGGGCTGATAAATTAAATGATTGCTCAACACAATGGTGTTCAGAGGGAAAGAGGGGTTGGGCATCTATTTTTCACTTTGGGATTACTACAGAATCTCATTTTTGAAACCAGAGCACAGATTAATTTAGTTAAGATCTGATAGCCAGCTAAAAAAACTCTGATGGACGCTCTCCAGCTTGTCCTGAATTACCCAGAATTTATTGGCAATTCTGAGAGTCTGGGGAGAGACATCGGAAGGGTTGCCTGAGGACAGCAGTGCAGACCACGGGCAGCGAGGTTCACGCGCAGTGTTGACCTGGGCTCTTCAAGGGCAGGGTTCTTGCATCTCTCTCATAAAACAAGGCTCACAACAGCCTGGGCACATTTTAAATCTCACGTGCAGTACATTTCTGTCTGTGCCTGACAAGTATACTTGAAACAAAACCAGTGCTCCACCTGGGAGTTAGAACTGGGGGTTCTGGGGTCACACAGCCTATGTCCACGTCTCCCCTCTACCACGCCTGGCAATGTGCCCCAAGCAAGCTGCTCAGCAACTCTGTGCCTCAGTTTACCCATCTGTAAAATGAGGAGGACAGTACTACCCACGCCACATGGTGGTTGTAGGAGCCAGTTCACTCTCAGAAACAGGGCCTAGTACATATAACGCAGTCACTAACGTTAACCATTGCTTTTTCCAAGTTGAGGAATTTCCTAAATTTTGCAAGCCACAGGCTTGCTACGTGGTGGTCACAGCCGACCCAGGAGGTCGTAACCGAGGGTTGTCTGCATCAATCAGATTCCTAACCTGGGAAACTGAACTGGGTGACCCAAGCACAAGGCGACTCCGCGGTAGAGAGTGAAGGTGACAGGTGCACTTGATCATGAGGAAGCACCCCTGGTGGAGAAAAGCAAAGAGAGGAAGTGCCATGCAGCCGCAGCGCAAAGACGACAGCTCCCATGGTCTGGGCTTTCATTTCAGTTTCCGGGAACCCTGGCTCCACCTTACTTCCTGGTCGTGGAACTGGGGAACAGCTCCGTGTCTTTACACCCAACTCTGTATCAGTCAGGTGAGGCTAAGTCATGTGTCTGTAACAAGTAGCTCCCCAAATCTCAGCAGCTTAAAATGGTTATATATCTTTTCTTTCTTTTTAAATAAAATATGTACTTTTTAAACAAAATACATATGTAATTTAATATTTACTTAATCGTGGGGAAGAGCACCTTATAGATATTAGATATAATATTGTGATGTCCTTGGTATCAAATAGAGTATTAATTCATTTGGCAATACGTATTAAACAAATGTATACTAACCACTATACACAAACATACATTAACTACATATGTCGCATTCTGGCAACACATGAGTGGCCAGACGGCCCTTCCCTCAGAGTTCTGCGCAGTCTCTGAGCCAGACGAGTTTCTTACAGTCGTTTTCTCATCTCCACTGCTACCGCCACATCGGCCATCACTTCCATCTGCTGTCTATTGGTAGGGCCTCTCCTTCCTCTGGTTTCTAGCTTCTAATCCTCTGTCTGCAGCCTGGAAACTAAACCCATCAGACTCGTTTGCCAGGTGAGAGTAAATAAGCCAAGTGGGACGGGTCTCAGGTGCTGTCCGGCGGAGCGAGCCCAGCAGCCCTGGTGCGTGACCCGCACGCTGCCGCGTCCGGGGCCTCCTCCCTGCAGCGGACCCCGCGGCACAGCGGCACCCGGGTGAGTGCCGTCTCTCTGCACCATGGGCTCAGGGGTGCCAGGTACTGAGCTCCCCCCTCTCCTCAAGCGGCATTCTCTCTGATACAGTTATTGTTCTGTAAAGTGTGGCCTCCACTCTTAATCTTTTCTTCAACCAAAAAAACCCCACAAAAACCTTTCTTACTAGCATATGTCTTCCTTCCAGCCTCATTCGCCCAGATCGTGATACTTGTGAATGTTTAGATCTGCCGTTTGCTCTTATCTTTCCCTTCACCTTCCCGTGGTGACTGATGGTAATGGCTGACGACAAATTTAGAAGACCACACAATGGAAAAGGCACTTGTACCAAAAGGCACTTGTTCCAGCTTCAAGCAACATAGTCTCAGAGATCAATTTTACTTGTGCCTTCATGCTTTTGAAAGTGAATCACTCCTTCAGCTCAGCTAATCACCCCGATCCCTTCACGTCTGCCCATAAAAGTACAGAAAGTCTAGTAAAAGGCTACTTACTGCCAGGCTATGGCCCAAAATATTTGGATGCTAGTTTTCAAATTGAATTCCATTGCTCAGTGAAGAAAAGTCAGTAAAAACCAATCAAACAATTAGTGTGAAGGTTCTATGCAGCCTGGCCCACATACCGGTTAGACTTGAAGTCTATTAGTCTGACCCGTACTGTAAAACATGCCTCAGCCACCTCTTAAAGCAGTCATTCTTAACCTTTTTTAGGTTTTCAAAAATCTTCCTAAAGTTTTCCCCTTCAACCACATGACATGTATGTACACATTTTTTGGGGGGTAACTTCTAAAGTTTTAAAGAGGCAAGAGGTCACCAGATCAAGAACCTGGGCCCGAAAGAAAATTAAACAAAAACAAACTAAACAGACTCTGCAGAACAAACCTGGTTCCACTTCATGAGACCTGAAGGGCCACTACCGTAACGGCTGGGTGGCCAGGCGCCTTTCTCAGCCGTGCACACGACTTGGAAGCCTGGCTCGGCCTTCTGAGGCGACATCTCAAGGCGCCCCAAGCCCGTAGCTATTCACAGCGTCACCTCCTGTACAGCTTCATCCCCGGTCCTTTCTCTCCTAGTTCAAGGTCTTACAGTCATTAGAGTCTCACTTGTCCTCGTGTACAGCTCGACATAAGATCCCAAGTGGTTCGACTCCATACAGATTTAAACACAGGGCTAATTTGTTCCAGAACTTTCCATGCCAATACCTTGAAACTACTTTGCAAGTTCAACCCACAGGGGAGTGCACACAAAGTGAGGGAAAGGGACAGATGTCACCGTGTGTTTGGAGCCCGTATCCCACCCTGCACGAGACTTTCTCGCGTGACTGCAGGGGTGCTTGACATTCCTGTTCTTACCTAACACCAGGACGGCATGTTGCTTCGAATTCAAGGTAAGGTTTCCATTTCGAATACCCTTAAAAAGGTAATTTGGGGCCTTTAAACTGCTTCAAGTTGAAAGTGACTGCGGAGATGGAGAAAGGAGGTAGGATGCTGGGAGCAAAGAGAGGTGGCGAGGGGAGGTCCCCCAGTTTTACTCGGCGAGGGCCGCTGGGGCAGCTGCCTGACAGCACCACGATGGGACCACAGCGCCCACACCCTCCCGCGCTGGCCCCGAGCGCCCACAGGGCAGCCCCGGACACAGGTCCTCCGCAAGGTAACCGAGGACGGCAACCGAACGTGCCGTCCGCCGTGTGGCAGACGGTGGAGCGGACCGGCGCACGG